CATTTAATCCTCAGCACCCACGCAAGGAAAATGCTAACTTCCTTTGGAAGTTAAAGAAACAGAGACTAGAGATGCAAAGTAGTCCAATGGTGACCAGTGGAACCGAGGCCAAAATTCAGTTTGGATCTAAGGAGACATTCATTTTGTTTTGCTTTGTTTTGATTTGTTTTGAGACAGAGTATCACTCTGTAGCCCAGGCTGGAGAGTCGTGGTGCAAACTCAGGTCACCACAACCTCCAGCTCCCGGGCTCAAGCGAAGCTCATGCCTCAGCCCCCTGAGTAGCTGGGATTACTGGTGTGCACCACCATGCCCAGCTTTGTTGCTGTGGTTGTTGCTGTAATTTTAGTAGAGGTGAGCCTTCGCCATGTCGGCCAGGCTGGTCTCAAACTCCTGCCTCAGCCTCCCAAAGTGCTGGGATTACAGGCATGAGCCACCGCACCCAGCATAAAGAGCCTCTCACACCACTGTCTCTTGCCCTGTGATGGGGGGTGGGGCTCCATGCCTCTAGCTAGGTTGATTATGTCCAGTCCTTGGAGGAGCCCAGGGCTACCCACCCCTAAAAGTCAGAGGGCAGGAAGCAAGAAACGGTCACAGGACTGCCCTAGAGTGTGTGGGGTCACCTGCCCCAGGGTGCAGCTGCCTTTGGCCTTGCACCTCCCCTCCCCAGAGGCCGGTGCCTGCCTCCCAGCCCTCCTGGATGGGGCAGAGGTTACCGTCTCCTGTTCGCCAAGCTTCTCCTGCAGCTCCTTTCCTTCCTGCTCCAAATGCAGTGTGCTCCTGTTCTCATTCTGCTGGACAGAGAGAAGCAATCAGTGGCCACCCACTGCAGCTGGAGACCCCAGAACTTGGTGTCTGCCTCCCATGGCACCGGGAAGGGTGGAGGTTAGAAAAATTGTCTCCTTTCTCCCACAGCCATCAGAGGAGGGCTCTGGCTCACAGCTGCCTTTAGAAGCCCCATTTCATACACTCCCCCATTTTACAGGTGGGAAAACAAAGGCCTGGAGGGCTGAGGAGGAGGGCAGTCTCCCCAGGTGGGCAGCACATCAGCTACTCCTCCTGCTCCTGGAGCCCCTCCTGCTCAAGAAGCCTCTCCTCCTGTTCTCTCAGCCTCACCTCCTGCTCCCGGAGCCTCGTTTTCGCCTCCTGCAGTCTGTCCTGTTCCTGCAGCTCATCTCTCAGGTACTTGATTTCAGTTTTTAGGTTTTTCTTCAAGTCACAGGGCCCTGCTGGGTGCTTTGAAATTGGGGGTTCAGCTGAGAAAGGAAGCAGACAATAAGAGCCTTTGGATTCTCAAAACAATAAACAAAAAACAAAACAAAAACACTCTTCTGGGTGCACAGCTCCTCTCAGGCTCCCCAAACCTGGCCTCACTGCTAATGATTTCTCACACCCAAATGGCAGCCAGCCTTCCAAGCCCCTTTCAGATAGAGAGCACTGTGGGCGGCTGACAACAGGCACTCCTCCCTCTTTGCTGATGGGGACACTGAGGCTCATGGAGATTATAAGACTTGCTGTCTCCTGGCACAGGCCTCTTTCCCTCTGCCTCAAAGCCCTTCCAGCCACCCACCTCCCTGGGGCACTCTAAGCCACCCCCACAGCCCTCTGATGCCAGTCCTGCCCCTGGGTCACACCAGCCCCATCTTACCCAGATGGTTTTGTAGGTGGGCAAGGCAACCTTTCAGCTCCTTGATTTTAATTGCATCCTGCCTTTTCTCCATTTTGAATATTTCAATCTGCCCAAAGCACAGGGGGAAAGGGCCCTGGAGACGGGCTGGTGGCTGGACAGGCTACCATCTCCCTCTCCGCCCCCAGCTCCACAAAGCCCAGTTCTGTGACCACCCCTGGCTGGACTATTCTTTTTACAGATGCCCAGGAAGATCCAGTGAGCCATCTAAGGTGGGGGGCTGAAGGGTCAGCTCTCACTTCTCCTGCCATTTTCAGCATTTGCTGCTGCCACTGTGCCTTCTCTGTTTTGAGTTGTTGAGCGTATGCATCTCTTTCTAGCTGAGCTTTCTTAAGACACTCCGTCACCTGCAAGAATGGACCCAGAATTTAGGAAGGGCTGTCACTGGTCCTCACCTGCTCCTGGCCACCTGGGGTCATCTTCCTTCCACATCCCTGCCTCTGCAAAGTCTCACCTCTGCCACCTGTGCTTTTAGCAGTTCCCGCTCCTGTAGAAACTGCTGTAACTGCTGCTCAAGGACTGCTTCACAGCGGCTCGAGGGCTGGAGGGTGAAGAGGGAGAAGCTTCAATCTGGAGAGCCTGGGCCGTTCCACACAGTGCCCCTTAAAAGGGCTAGGCCTGGGCTTAATACACAACTCAGTCAGTAAAGATCAAGGCATTTCCAATCCCATGGTCTGGATTTTAAAAGAACTCAGTAAAGTTGGAAGGCATAGGGAAAGAGGTCACATTTACAGCTGGCTAACAGAGGCCCAGAGAGATCAGATCATATTCTATTGTTACTCTTGTTATTACTACCGCTGTTGGAACCTTTATTGAGTGCGTCACCAGGT